CGATCCAGGTCGTCGCCACAGGTGGCGACTCCCTAGACACTCATTTCACATTATACATTTTCGTATTCTGCAACGACATAATTACTACCCCTTTCAGTTATTCGCGTTTATTCGAATATATCGTATTTAATCGCGCAAGATTAATCCAGAGATGTGTCAAATTTTATCCAATTTACCGCTTAAGTAGTTATGCAACAATTGTTGAGTTAAATAATACTCATTATAATCAAATTTTATGGAAAATAAGTCAATTGACTTTTTTCCAAAATTCTGCAATTCGATGCTCGCAGTAATTAACTTTTTGTTAAAGAAGTTTCCCGACGATTATTTCGGTCGCATAGATATACACATTAAGAAACTTTCGATGACCTGGAGGAATTCCGTTTGGATTATAGTCCGCCACTTTGGAGACTAGATTCTGAATTTGCTGTGTATATCGTAGGAATATCCGCCAGCTGATTAAACCAAGCCCACCGCGTCTCTCGGGACATTCGAGATCCATAAAGCCGTTTCTACACCTTCCGGGCGTTCATTATGTGAATTGATACGGGCTTCCGAAACCATCGCGACATTAAGATCCCACAGAGGTTTTGATTAAATACAAAACGGAAATCGTCATTACGCGTACGGTACAACTTCACATATCTTGTTTAACAGAAAAAGTGGAAGTAAAGAAAAGCAAATATAAAATTAAAAAAAGAAAAAAAAAACAAAAAAGAGAAAAAACAAGGGAATCCGAAGCGAATACGGCACCTTCGCAGTTTTCCGACAGTTTTCGCAATTCCTAGTTAATACGTTCGGAAGAAAAGTCGTAGCAACACCTTGCGCTACTGCCAGTCATTCTCTAGGTACGCTGTAGTTACCAAACTGCGAAAAGGACGACGATAGGAGAGGGAGCGGGGTAGAAACAGAGGATAAAATAGGCGAGGGACCGCCGAACTAATCAGACTCGACCAATCCGAGTCGTTTCCCCGCGGAGAAGAGAGATGCTTCCTCCCGGTGGACAGGATAATTTAAACTTTCCCGCAAGCGCGGACGCCTCGCGATGACGCGGCATCGTCGTCTATGTATCTCGGTCACTCCGTTAAACAGAATTAGATACGAACGTTAGATTCAAACGTTACGTTAACCACCGCGAAAATGGGCGACCCGAAATCTCCCAGGTATATAATACGCGAACACGAAATGAATCGTCGAGAATCCTTTGCAGGAATAGAGCACAATTGAATAACATTATTAAAGCAATGATACTCGAGTGAAAATTTGAGTTTTCCGCGACGGCGGAAAGCTGGATGAAAAGCATTACCGTTGTACGGCTCAATGAAATGCTACATCAATTTTAAAAGAGTAATATTCTTTATCAAATATAGAGTTGAAATACGTAAGCTTCTCAGCTTACTTAAAATTAACATATTTGTGCAAATTATCCTAAATTTTGACAACCAAGAAATTTATATCAAAAGTTTATGGTAGCTGCTTGTATGTAGCAAATGTTTCCGACAAACCAAATATAATGAGAACCATGATAATGGTATGATAAAACAAAATGACGCGAGATAAAAGTGCGAGATAAAAATTTAAATTTTTAATAATTAATAATTTAAATTTTTAATGTAAATTATATGACAGGATGGAAGCGTGAAATCGGGAAAAATTTAGAGAGCGCTCAACTCTTATATCGAATATTTTACAACGCCTAGTCGACGGTGACATAAACGTTTCGAACGATAAGAGGACGACGAAAAATGATCGGGTTGTTTCCGACGCGTTGTCGCTCGCGACAGTATAATCTAAACTTTCGCAAAGCAGCGAATATCATTCGGCCTTAATTACGGCGAGAATAGGAAGAGACACGGTCGTATCAGAAGCGAGCGTGACATCCGCGCGCGTCGTGCCACACGATCCTGTCGCGGATACGAAACAAAACCTCGATTGTGACAGTAATTACGGAAGACTTCCATGCGCTGCCGTTTAAATTAAGCCATCTGCCAGCGGATGAATCGGCCGCGTGCACAACAGGATTTATCGCCGTTTTTGACGTTCGATTAATTCGCCCGCCAACGCGAGCACCAGCTTACCGCGAATCTGAATAAAGCTATGTTATACTGAGATAAAGACTGTGGCGTAAAAGATGAAGCACGACTACGCGAGAGGGAAATCATGAATTTAATAGTATTTAATAATATAATGTGCAATATTTTATGCACTGCTAAAATATAAACGGATTGTGAGTTAAAGTCAATATCTGCAATTTACTGTTAGATACTTTTAGTCAATTGTAAAAAAATTGTAATGTTTGTTGAAACTTATTAATCTTTTGCTTTAGAAATAAAAAATTTCAATCATTATCGTTCCAAACAACCGGTATTATAAGTATTTTGATGTAAATATTAATAAACTTTTAATAAATATATATCTCTCTTACAAGGTAAAAAAAAAACAATATTTTAGCTTAAAATACGACATGGAAAAACGGCCTTACCTAATTACTTTCCCCGTTAGTTTAAGAATTTAATATGTCAATAAGTAATTGTCTGTGCCGCTTTAAAAGGCGTTTCGTTTTTTTATGTATAATTTCTGCGCACTGCATGGAATATTGAATGTTCAGTTAGACCAATCCCGATTCCGCCGCGATTGCGAAGGCTCGTCGGGCATCTACGATAGCGTCGCGACCGCAAACGTGCTACAGTGAAACGCTTCAGAAACGAACTAAAAATTCAACGATGTCGTTGCAAGAGAAACGGACGCAATTTAATTCTCTGCGGGGGAAAAAAAAAGAGAGAAAGAGAAAGGGCGACGAGCGATTTACTCTTGAACGACGGCGGGGAAGGATACGGTGTGTTCCCTTTGATGAGAACATCAGTACGGGCCGTTGGCGTAAAAAGGACACCTCTCTTCTCGTCGGTATTCCGTCCGCGCCTATGCTGCTAACGGAATATATTACTTTCTAACGAGTCGCTGCAGAGGCTACGAGAAATGTCCTTGGTTCCGCATGCGTCGGGAAAATAGTGAATTTTCAGTACAGCGCGAATTCCGACTCGAAAAATCGGCAGAATAGAGTTATCGGGCGCGATCGATGGCGACGACTACGAATCGCTACAAACGATTCAATTTGAATAATGTCACGTGCTACATTACCGTATAAGAAACGTTACGAAAAACGTGCGTGGTAAAAATGCCTACCGCAATCATCTTTATGATAAAAGTTCAGCTATTTTTTTTTATTTGCCAAAGCAATCTTCGAATATGCAAATAATATATATATATGTATATATATTAAAAGATTTAAGAGCACCAAATATAATAAAGTAGTAACTAAAATCAAAACAATAGCAAATATTTGTACATAATTAAGCTAAACATTTACGAATTTGAAATAAATCGAAATATTTTACTGCATAAAATATTTTAAAAAGTCGAGAAAAATTCATTTGTCAACATTGATAATATATATCATAATTAATCTATTTCCATGAAAAGATGATAATCTATTGAAAATTATTTATTTAAAGTTTATATGTATATATAAAAAAGTTGGAAAATGCTTGTATGGATTGACTATTCATAAAACATCAATAGAAAATAAGATTTTTCATATTGCGTATTATTCCGTAATCAAAGACAAAAAAAGAAAAAAAAATTGACAACTCGATTAATAGCAATCCGAATTAGGATTAGATAGGGTATGTGTTTGCACAGGCGCAGGTAAAACTGGATTGTTTTTGTGAAAGAATAATGTCACAAGCCTGAATAAAAACTGAAACTCAACGGAAATAATTCGTGCACCGCAGTCGTGTATTTTTTAGCGGTTGAACGCGACATGGTCGAAAGTCGAAAAATTGGCGCGTTTTAGCGACGGTGAAAAGATAGCGTTCCAACTGCGCGGCGAACGAGCACGCGAAAAGCCGCTAACGCTTCAATTTTCTTCTATGAACCTCTGACCGACCGTAAAACGCGAGCGGCCGTTTGTACGGGCGTAATGTACCGATAAAGCACTCACAGAGCTTGTCACGAAATCTGTAACATTTTCTCGTCGGACGCGCCATTTCGTGCTGCGCAGTGTGCGCGATCGCACAGTCGAACAGTTTTTAGAGCCCGGACTCGTGTGGAATTACGGCGCACGAATAACACCAAATGCCACAGCCATACCATAATCTCAGTGTGTGCAATTTATACAACTGCCATCCGATTGCCAAATGCACCGCGAATTCCGCCTGTGTCCGATCGAAAATACATATAACACTGCAATGGAGAACGATGTAACAGAAGAGCGTGCTAAATCTATACCATAATCGCGTTTTAATGCCTTTATTTTAGTACGATTCGTGTCAGTTAATGAAACGATGTATCCGTTTGTCCCCGTGTCCACCTGGATCCGCAGAACGTTCCCGTTAATCGAGAAGCTTACGCCAATTACACTAATGAACGCACAGGAAATGTAGCACAAGCGGTCAAGAGTATTAGCAATCGCGTTTGGTTTCGAATAAAATTTTATGTTTGTAAAGGTCGCTAAATCGATTTCGATACCTGCATTCTTTATCGCACGCCGGATTACATACGCTCGATGTAACATGTTTCGCGCGCAGTGCAAATCACGCGGTTGCATGCAAAATCGATGGCATGGTAACCGTGTTGAATAATAAACATTATGATAATAATTGCGATAATATTATTTTATGTTAATACAGTGATAATAAATGTAATTAATATTTCGATATAAACATAATCCGTACAACGCAAGCGAATATAAACATTCTTGGCATATACCAATAGAATAATAACATAATATTATATAATCGTTATACACTCCAAATATCCAATTTTTGAAATTTTTTCAAGATTTACGTTCAACGGAATTTGTTACGCTTAAAATATTATTACATCGATGATATAAAATGAGAAAGTGATTCAAAGTAAACTTTATACTGATAATTCTTTTTCAAAAAAATGTCAATACTATTACTTTTATTATAGCTATTTTTTTAATGAAGCACACTCACCTCCTCTTGGAGAATCCGTAGGTCCAGGCCGCTGTCTTAAGCCTGTAACAAGAGAAAAAAGAAATTGTTTTAAATCGATGATTATATATATAATGCATCAAGTATAGAAAAAATATTAATTATTGCGCCATGTATGTCTTTGACAAAAATGGCAAAGGAAAGAAGTAGTATCTAATAAAATTTAGTACAGTATTCTGAACATAATCACTGATATTGCCAATTGCAAAAATACAATTAAATTTTATTATCAATTTATTTACAAACATATGTGTTTGCATTAAGAAACAAAATTATAAAACAGTTTAATAAAAGGTCGAAAAATACATTTATTTACGGCAAGGCAAAACACATATTTTAATTACCTAGTAGTATATGTATATGTATGTAGTAGTATATACTGATATATACTGCGGTTTAACTTTGTAAATGTTCACATTATCAATTCCGTACTCAGATAAAACAAAATGTTTGTTTTTTATGATGCAATTCACGCGCGCACATAAAATACAATACAGTAGTACAAATATTTTGTTCTACTTTATGTCTCTGATTATTTAGAATACATAAATGCAGATTTTCAAATTGCGAAATTGACCGTTGGAATCTCAATGTTTTACATGAAAAATATTTATTTTAATATCACTTTGCTGTAATATTTTTTCAAACTACTTCATTGTTTTATTGAAATATTTATTTAAAAAAATTCTGTATAATAATTTTTAAAATAATTAAAATATGATATTTTATATTGTGATATTATTATATATATTAATGAAATGTAAAATAAATTATTTAAAACTCAAGAAAAAAATTATTTCATATATCAATTAATCACAAGAGAGAAGAAAAAACTACAAATTTATTCCTGTTTAGGTCAAAAAGCTGTTCAATAATTAAATAGTTTCTCGTAATATAATGCGCATATTTCATAATGTTAATTTTTTCGGATGAAGTAAGCGAAATAACTATTTGTTTTTGAGATACCACAAAATCGCTGCCGTGACCGGTGCATCGCGATTCCGACATTTTCTGCCATTGTTACTGGCCGAAACTACTAAACCAATTGGTTGGGGCCAGCGCGGAGGTACAATCTAAACTTTCGAATTCTACGAGTTGCAGCCCTTGAGGCCCTCGTGTAATCCTTGCAGTGGCATTCTCACGGTCCTTTCCTAAATTGCGTGCGCAACTAAATTAATTTTACGAATTATTCGAAAATTACTACACAAAGATCAATAAATTAAATGCTACATAATGTGTAAACGAGGTAAACAATTCATTATAAACGAAGGAGATGCTATTTGATAATTTAAGAAAGTTTCTAAGATCGTAATATGAAACTCATGAAAGTATGAGAAACGTCTTTCTTGTTATTCTAGAAAATATTAATTTAAAAAATTGATATTCTCTTAAAAAAAAAAAACAGAATTATTTTGCACAGCCTTCTTACATTGAAGATATCCAGAACTTAAATTGTGTTCATTTTCATAAATAGAAACTTTTTTTGCTTCTCTAATTTTAAAGCAAAACGTATGATAATAACTTTTCTATCTATCCCTTCTCTTCAACATTGAACATCTGACGAGTAATCAATTCGTGAAAAACATTGCCAACGGGAGTTGCGATAAGTAGCAAACTGATTTACGAATTTACACGCCCGTATTCCTCAAGGATCAGTCACGAAAGGCATATATTCCTCTAAAATGCTTCATGCGAACTCTTTTTGAAGAGAGACAAAATATTCTGCACGCGTTCGCTTCCCGTTCTTTACTTGAAGAAGTTGAATGTAAGAATAAAAGGACTTGCAATCCTATCAGCATGTAAAGTTCACTACGCGTAACTTCTTTTATATCGTATACTTCACTTGAATTTTTTTAACTCTTGCTTGTTACAATGGACATGACAAATTAAATTTTAGAGCTATCTGATAGCTGCTCTAATCGAGAAATAATATATTTATTTAAGAAACATTTTAATTTAAAGGATGTTACGATTTAAAATAGAAATGTAATATTAAAAAAAAAAGAGAGAGATTAGACTTTTAAGTTTTCATAATGAAATTCCAATTTCAAAATTAATCGTTAATAATTTTATGAATTTTATTAGTTTTTTATTCATTTTAAGAGAAAAAGACTTTGACTATAAAAAAGCACGAATTTTTTAAATTATACTTAAATATATATATTGTATATAAAAAAAAATTTTTAATACAAGATATGATATATAATATACAATCTCATGTAAAGTTAGCAATCAATTAAAATAATAATCATTTATTTAAGTTAATATGGTATAAAATTTGCAAACAGAGAATGAACTTTTATAAATCCAAATATCTGTACAATATATCCGCAATGAAACTGTTGAAACAAAGTTTGATAATGCGACTCAATTAATTTTAATTTAAACTGGATGTAGTCATGTAGTCTGCTTTAATATTCGAGTTGCGCATTCCGGCAATATAACCAACGAAAGGAAGCCTTCCAATGCTTTAGTACCTTAGTCACTTGGGATTAAATGTTTACACGCTTCTCCCTAGATAATTCATCCTAGATAATCACATGCAATGAAGGAAAGCAAAGATTGGTTCTGTTTCTGCGAAACACTATTTACACCGCTATTTTCTCCGTGTTTAAAAAAGCGGTATTTTATTCATATCTTAAATCCAATATTTCTTATTTAATATTTCTTATTTCTTTTGTATATTATCAATAACAATAAAAAGGAACCGCAGCGATCAAACTTTTTTTTTTTAATGGAAGTTTGCGATTAAAAAAGGCTTGAAATTACCGATCTATAGGATTGAAGTTCTTTCGCTTTATACAATCAATTGCTTTTTTTACTTTAAATGTTTTTCATCTGTAATCATCAAAATTGAATCGCGTAAATTAACCTGGGAGACATGATCGGCTCACATTCGAACTTTATCTGCTTTTGAACTCGATGTCAACAGTAGAGCCCGATTCGAGTCGCCGAATTACAAATCCGACATAGCGTACCGGGATAAAGACAACGAATTCCTGGCGCGAAAAACGTAGGTAGTAAGAGCAAGCGGAAAAGAGGAGAAAAGGGAAGAGCGAAACGAATGTATTTCAATCTCGCCCGTTTTCAGCCGCGCCACCGGAGTTTCGGGAAACTTTTGCTACTCGGCTTCGTCCAGCTGACTGAGTTTTTCGAAGCGGCTGGCTATAGAGAGCGGACGATAGTTTGGCGAGTATGCACGGTGTTTCTGCAGTCGGGTTCTGATCGATAAGCTTCTTTTGCTTGGAAACGGTAAACTTGAAAAAGGGCAATATTTGGCTTTAACGAAGAGACTTTTGAAACGAACGATATTGTCATCTTAAAGAGAGCGGAAACTTTACGCATTTCGCAGTCGCTTTGCTATGAAAATCTTTGTAGTCGATGCATCTCTTATCAATCTTGAAAAATACAAGGATCATCGTTCAATTTTAATTTTTCTAATAAGGCGATTGTTGTTTGAAGAAATAATGTTTTGAGTTGAAAAACAGGTGATTTATTTTCTTAATGTTAGTTTAATTTTGTAATGTTCCTTTGATTAAAAATGGACTCGTTTTTTTAGAAAAGTTCTAGTAATGCTATCAAATCCGCTATAAACCATTAAGCATCAACATACGTGTTGTATTTGTATCTTGAAAAATTCGTTGAAAATTTGAGAAATAACGTGAATTTATTTTCGGGACAAAATAGAATATCGTAAGTATATTAAAGGATTCTAAACTTATACATTTGTTTACAACGTCTCATTACTACAATATTACTAAACATTAGTAATATACGCGCTGCATGTGAAGGTTCGCAATTAATCGATAATCTTTAGCAGAGAAAGAGCTGAGTGAACGTAACTATACCACTATGGAGAATAACATAATAAATACTAGAGGAAGTGTACTGCAAATATTTTGTAATACAGATATTTGTATTAACATCATTACTTGTATTTTTAGTTAACTGTTACTGCAATGCAATTAAGATTATATCAATTATCAATACATTATATATAGTGAGATATATCACAAAGAAATGTATCAGAAAAAAAGAACGCCGTAATTGTAACAGTATATTGTAAAGTTACGTGTAAAATAAGCAAATTGTGAGTATTGTAGTAAATTTTAATTGTAGTAAAATAATACTGCAAACGATTATGAAAAACTGTGTTCTTGCGTAATAGTAATTACTATCTCTTAAAAATGAAGAAAAGCGTCTTTCATAAAAATATAAGAGCTTCTTCTGAATGCGGCGTTCAATTACTTCTTATGTCATTCACTCTCTTTCTATAATATAGCGCGAAACAATCAGCGTCCGTGAAAGATATCGCTCTCCGATCACACTCGACTCGCCCGACTCACTCTTCCCACATATCGCGCACCTGCTAGTACAATCGATCCTAAAACAATCGAGAGCCCGAAGTTTCGCTTCCGTAAATCCGTACCGGAAACGAAAGAACGTACCGGCGATGATGAATCGATCGCCGTTCCTGCGATTTACGACGCGGAGCTCGAACCGATCGCTGAGACTCGAACTCATTCGAGAACGTACGTACGTACGCGAACGCTGATCGATCATCGCGAAAAGTAACAACGACGAGAAACGCGGCGGTTATATCCGTGGAAAAAGATCACGCGAGATCTGCGGAAAAACGGTGAAAAACGTCCTCATCGAGAGAAACGACGACGAAAAGGACAACGTGGACGACGACAGTCGATGGCGACCATCCATAGAGGTAAGCTCGCTGCTACCGACATATAACACGTACATTCAAACGACAATATGTATCGCGCGTATGTATGAGTGAGGTTGTAAGTTCCACGGGCGAGAGAAGTGAGAAAGATAAGGGAAACGTGGGTAGACTCGCGTTGCTCGTAGCGTCGATAAGAGATCGCATCCAACTTAAACTCCGCATTTACACCCCGCGGACGAACGACCGGTGACAGCAACCCTCACGGACGATCGAAATAGAGAGAGAGAGAGAGAGAGAGAGAGAGAAAACGACGAAGGCAAATGATATTCTCAGGATGGTTCCTTAA